TTACCATATTAGGTAATAGATTACCACTGTTATTACTCTTTATAACTGTCTTGCACTTTAAATAACGATCCTTTTGAAATTAAAAAGAAAACTTTTAGATAATCTTTTGAAAAGAAGAACATTTGAGAAAAAGATTACTTTCAGAAACAAGAATCAAGGGTGTCCAAAGAATTTTTCTGAAATATCAAGAAGTGCAAAGATTCAATATGAGTTCATGAAGGAAGAAATTCAAATGTGAAAGATCAATATCTGAACGAAATTAGGTGATATTTTTCTAATCTTTAAACTTGTATTTTCATTTTGAATGGTGTATCTCTTGAGATATGATGTCTCAACAAGTGTTTTTGAAATCTTGGGTGCGCTTTCTCAAGTAATTTCTGTGGGGTACAAAATTTCTTAGTGTTTTCAATCTTGTGGTGTCAAGATTGATGTTTGTTTGAATTCTTGTAGTATTGTGTTTGCATGTTGTTTGTAAACAATATTATAGTGAATGATCTTTGATTTAGTGGGGTGCTAAATCAGGGAAAATTGGATGTAGGCCAAGTGGATGGCTAAACCAATATAAATTTATGTGTTCTTTATCTTCTTACCCTTATCTTTAAGAATCTTGTTAATTTCTTGGTTAAGGAATTTAAAGATTTGTGAGATATGAAATTTCAATTGCAATACAAACTCTGATCATTATTCTTGTAATTGAAATTAATTAAGAAGAAGGTAATATAAAATCAACCTTGATTACAAATAATTGTTTCACTGCATTAACTTTGATATTCCGGTACTTTGGTAATAAACCTTGTAATTACTGTTATTTGTTAAATCAAATTGAGTAAATGTTGAGTTTTGGATATCTTGGTAGGTTTTTATCAAGAATTGTCGAAAGTTGAGTCATCTTAGGATATAATCTATTCAACCCCCTTCTAGATTTTAGTAAACTAGGACCAACATTGTCTACATTAAATTTTAACAATCCAACTATACAATTAAAATTTCTTAATAAATAGATCAAATTTATTATTTTTTTATATATAGAATTCGAAAGTCATTTGATACATTGTTTCCTTAATTCAAATTAATGTATAATATGCTCTTGTAAATAACCGTTAATTTGAATCTATATAACAAAGTATTAAACAATTTTCAATTTTTTTTTGTAAAAAGTTGTAAACTTGATCTACTCATTAAAAACTTTTAGTTTAACAGATAGATTGTTAAAATTTAATGTAAACCATAAGTCATTGAGTGAGGTAACTTTAATAAGACTTACTCTTTAAGCAAGTAGATCTATATACACACATTGATATTATAAAAACACTTTTTTTTGGTAAAGTTGTCGATCCGTTACGTATAGACTTAGTTCTATTGATCTATATATATTACATTAAAGTTTGACATATCTTGTGTTTGACATTTTAGTGAATTCAATTTTTTCTTTTCAAAATAACAATAATGTTGTTGCATCTTAAAACACTTAAACTAATTTTGAAATTTCTTTCTAGTAATAGTCAATGAGTTATGATTTTTTTACTAAATTATGAAAATGTAATAAATTAAAATAATTTAATTTCACTAGTTATATTTTAGCACATTTTTTATTAGTAGATAATTATTTAGTGTTAAGATAATTCTTAAATGTTATATTGATAAAGTTAAAAATAATTTAAGAAAAATTTTATAAAAACAAAATAATTAAGTTGAAAATGAGTTTTACAAGCCAAACTCAAGATTAATTCTTTTAGAAAAAACCAAACTCAAGCCTTTAATCAATTTCAATAAAATAAAAGATTCAAGCTTAAGTAATGACTTTCTCATAAGGTAAGTCTAAGCTTTAAGTGATTGATTTGATTTGACTTGTTTTCACGTGTAATTTTGAGCAATTATTCATTGAAAAATTAAATTTAGTTAAAATACACTTATTAGACTAATTATTTTAAAAGTTATATAGAGGAAAATTTCTAATTACTTGACAAACCTTGTATCAAAATCAAACTTAAACAAGATATGCCTATATGTCTAACTTTTAGCCTTATTCAATATATGTTTATAAGTGTTTTTGAAAGCAATGTTTTTAAAACTGAATCGATCATTTAACCACTCTAGGCATTAAGATTCAATGATTCAATTGTAATTGAATTGTGATCAAACTGGTATTAATAAAATAATTGTTATTATTAATACAATTAATTTTAAATAAATATAATTTTATAATTTTATAACACAAAAAATTAAAATAAAACATTATTTTTAGATTCTTAACATTTATTTTAATGTATACATAAAATTCTAAACCATATATAATATAATATTTAAGTTTAAGTTTAATAAAATATAACAATATCTATTAATAATAACAAGTTTGTTGAGTCAGACAAAGAAATTCCCAACAAGATTTTGAACATGACAAATATAATACATACTATTATTTTTAACATGTGTGTTAGTGTTTCAGATAAATATAAGAACAGACAAAACTAAAAAATGAAGTACGTGTTATTACACATACTTAGTCAAACCAAACGAAACTTGGTTAAGATGTACAAAGTATCAGACGATGGTTAATCAAGCATCAAGACTAAGTCTGATCAAAAGCCAGACGAAAACACAACAAATAAAAGAAAAGACGTACTACCAGTCGAAGTCTTGAAGTATCAGACGAAAGGCCAAAACAAGTATCAAACAAGGCTAAATCAAGAACAAGACAAAAGTTGGTTGAGCACCGGATGAAGTCCGTAGAGACATCAGATGAAGCTTAATGATCAACCAGACGAAGGTTAACAAAGTATCAAACGATAGATAACACAAGACGAAGAAACGTTCCAGACAAAATTAGAGTCGTCCATCTTCACAACTGACCAAACGGAAGGAAAAGTCAAAGTCTACTTCTCAAATGGAGACTCAAATTTGAGATGCACTACCAGATGCAAACGAAGAATACTGAAAAGCGTCTAAAGTCCACTATTCACAACAAGAAATATCAAATATCGTCTACACTCATAAAAGAGCACACGAAGTCATCAAATTTGTGAGAAGAAAGAAGAAAGATAGGCAAGCACGTATCCACAAGTCAAAGCATGCATGTGTTAGAGAAAGTACACCTACTTTTCAGAAAAAGACAACGCCTCTACAGCTACATTGTCGGAGAGAGAACAAAAATACCTAGGTTATGATTGAAGTCAGAAATAAAGGTGAATGAACTACACAAAAGACTTCACGTAACACAGATTTAGTAAGCAAACATTTAATGAAAGATCTATATGGCCATGAACGAACAACTATCTGCGCCAACGGGAAGCTTCGCTCCAATGGACATGTTCAAATTTAAACAACGGGAAGATTTATCACGAGGCTATAAATTTCAAGACCTAACAAGAGAAGAAAGTAGAGTAGAGAAGAGAAGCAACGAGCAATAAGCAAAAGCAAACGTAAAAGCAAACTTACATCTCTTCCTGTATAGTCTTGTATATTTGTGTAAATCTAAGATAGCTTAGTGAGTGTTGAAATTATCCTATCCTCTCTGTGAGAGTAATACACATATCTATGTAAAACTAAGGTTGCATACCTCAGCGAGTGTAGAAACCATCCTATCCTCTTTGTGAGAGTAATACACACTCAAAACACATATATCTGTAAACTAAGGTTGCATACCTTAGCGAGTGTAGAAACCATCCTATCCTCTTAGTGAGAGTTATACACACACTCAAAACATCTATTTGCTATAAAGCCTGAAGAGGCTAGTTGAAAGAATACTTGGTGAACCAGAAGTGGTTTAAGAATACTAGCGCTGACGAGTGAAGTTTGCGAACCAAGAGTGGTTGATAATACTTGGAGAACCAGAAGTGGTTTAAGAATACTAGCGCTGACGAGTGAAGTTGGCGAACCAAAAGTGGTTGATAATACTTGTAATCCGTTATGATTAGTGGAACCCTTGGTTGAAGGAGACTAGACGTAGCTCAAGTCGAGTGAACTAATATAAAACTTTTTGCACTTTTTATCTATTTCTCAGACACAATTTTTGTTTAGCTGATATATCGTACTAAAAATTTTGTCCCTTACTTATTTTTTACTACAACTATCTTTAAACGAAAAATACACTTGCTTAACTCATTATTTTAAGAATTTTTTTTTCAGACGATAAACTCTCATATGCAAAATACTTTTGTTGAGCCAACCTTGCACAGTTTTTAAGGTATTCAAAATAATATTTTTTACTAGACGAAAAAGAATCTCTTTGCGAAAGCGATTTTAAAATTCCTTCGTTCACACACACATTCAGCCCTCCTTCCATGTGTTTTTCCGCTAACTTCAAAGTTTATATTTAGAATAAAAAATATAAAATTAATAAGATATAAACTATAAAAATAAATATATTAAATTAAAATTAACATAAATGATTAAATTATATTTATGAAAACAAATTAAAAATAAATTATTCTAATTTCTAAATTTTTTTTAAGTTTTAAAAATAAAAAATATACTTTTAATTAGATCAATTTTACCAATTCTACCGACTTTCCACTAGTTCGATACAAAATGATTTTATACACCAATCAAATTATTAAAGAGGACCAATCAATTCATCCAAATTTCAAAATCATATATAAAAAATTTTCTACCAAAAAGAACTTTTAGTTTTAATAAAAAAAAAACACTAAATTTGTTTTTTTTTTTTACTTATCCAAACATGCTATTTCTTGGTTATAAAGATTTTCTAATTCACACCGAGTAGTCTAAAACCAGGCTGGCCCGCTGCCACCCTCACGTCACGACTCAAGTTAATGGAAGAACAGTTCCACATTTTTTTGTTCTACAACCCTTTGACTTACCCTTTACACAGAAATTAAGGCTAAAGAATAATCTCGAGCAACACAGAGTTCTGAGATGCTCATCTATTTCCATGGGCTAAAACTAAAAGCTAGCAACTAGCCACCTAGCAGTTACAAATAAAAAATCATCATGCTTATGGTGCCACCAAGGGCCAGGTAAATGAATCCACTCTAATCTTTAATTTTAATACAAAGAAAACACACGCTTACGTTGTATTGTCTCTAACATATAACTCTTCATGATTTTTTTTGGCTACTATTTTTCTGTCATCTTGCCTCTACTAGAACTTGGATTCATTCTCTATCCCCTCCCATCTTTTTTTTTTTTTTGGTAACATTTAAGTCTTCTTTTTCTTATAACATCCCCTTCCATCTAATTTCAATATATAAAACGTTTCACCTTTATTCTCAATTCTGTATTATTGGGAAGAGAATCCAACTCGGTAATCTTTACTTTACTCAATTAAGCTGCTTTAGGAATCTTTGCATCCCCCCTCATCTAAATTTAAGGATAGTATTTGACATCACTCCTTGGCAATTGTTTAGTCACATATATATTCCTTCCTTGATCAGGACTACTCAAAATAATTCTTTTAACTGTTTTTGTTCTAGGTATATGCTTCTTTGCATATATTCTATACTTGGTCCATGCATCTGTTTGACATAATATATTGGCAAGGGTTTATGTGCTATTCCATTTTCATGTCATAGTGATTGTTAATTTCAAATGGATGTTGCTGACACACTTTTACGTTGAGAGATTGCAGCTAACTGTCATTTGGGATGCCGAAAGAAAACATGGATGATGGAAATGCTGAGGTTTCTGATAAGCTTTCTGATAATATTCTATTATTGAATCCAGAGTCATCCAGCAGTTTTCGGGCTTCAACATCTTTGAACACAGTTACTGAACTGTGTAGGAGTAGCAGCAGAACATGCACCCACACTCACACATGCAACCCACCTGGCCCAGATGCTGCTCACACACACACATGCTATCACACACACACCCAAGTTTTTGCACCTGAAGATGATGACAGGGAGGACACAAACTTCAAGCAGAAAAAGCCTTCCGGCAACCGAGAAGCTGTTAGGAAGTATAGGGAGAAGAAGAAGGCACACACAGCTTATTTGGAGGAGGAAGTTAAGAAATTGCGTCTGGTGAATCAGCAACTAGTGAGGAAGCTACAAGGGCAGGCACTTCTTGAGGCAGAATTAGCAAGGTTGAGGAGCATTTTGACACACCTTAAGGGGAAAATAGACAGTGAATTGGGTGATTTCCCCTTTCAAAATCAGTGTAACTCTTCTTACATTTTTAAAGAAGGGGATGCTGGTTTGATGTCCTCTGCCAGGACTATTGGTCTTCAGTGTCAGAACGATTTGCCGTGCTTCCATCCACATGCAGGATCATCATCCCAAGTCAACATTTGTGCCTATGGAAAATCCATGATTCCATGGGAAGGAAACTGTCAACCAGAAACTGTAGATTGTCAAACTGATGCAAATAACATGACCAATACTGAAGGACAAACTGTGGAGACAGTGGATAACTTCATGTCATCTACATCTCAAGATGGATAGTTTAGCCAGACAAATAACTTTCTTGCGTGTTTCTTTTCTATTGTTATCACGGATGATTTGTTTTTTTAAGGGCCTATTGGGTAAACTTTTCCAAAAAACACTTCTAGGAGAGAAAAATAGAAAGAAAAATGAAATTAGCTTCTCTATGAGTTCAAATTAGCTTAAGCATAAGATAATTTGTAGAAGCTCTCTTCTATTAGCTTCTCCACAATCTTATTTTTTACTTATGTATAAATTAGTTTTAACTTATAGAGAAGCTTATTTCAATTTTTCTGCCTACTTTCTTCTTCTAGAAGTGCTTCTAGATAAATTTATCCAAACAGTCCCTAACATTTGGTGTGGTTAGGTAAGATGAGGTACATATAATTAGTGTTACCATAAAAGGTATGTATGTTAGATAACTCATAACATGACTCATGAAGTTTGCCGTCTGCAATCTATAGGATATGTATATTCAGGGAAGTATTTTAGAAATTTGTACAATATGCCAGCATGTAAAATGTGCTCTACTTTTTAGACAAACAAAATTCCTTGTTGTGTATCAAGTTTTCCATGATAAATAAAATAATGCTTCTCACCTGCTAGAAGTAGTATTAATGTTCCACTAAAAGCATCCTATCCTACAGCAATATATAAAGTCTTTAGTTCATCTATACCAGCCATTTCTGCTACTTATCTCACATACTTCAAAGCTAATTTTGTAATAAAAAGCTGAGCTTGTTTCGTATATCAACGTGTAGAATGATTGATGTGAAACAAGTGTATGTTGAAATACACCTGCATCAAAGTAGATTATTACTAGAATACTAGGCTTTTACCTTCAAGAGAACCGATTTCTTAACCTCCTTCTGATTTATAGTTAAAGGCTCCGAACTCTAGGTTGTAAGTTAATTTAAGGTGTAAACTGAATGTTATCTCCCTGTTGGTGTATCATAATCATTTGCTTTTTTATATTTTTCAATTCTAAGAATAAGATGACACATGATAACTGTTACTATATTTTTCATTTTTATGAAAAACAATTAGAGATAAGTTTCCAGATATGCCTCAATACCTGTTTGCCACCAACATGAGCATGTGCACTTTGATACATTTTATGATATGTGCTTCTTTAAGAATAAATGACAGTAAAAATAAACTCATTTGTCAGTTTCTTTCTGCTTTGAAGTTCTTTGCTACTTCTTATAGTGTCTTAACTCAATTTAGAATTGTTTTAGTTAGATTGATATTGTATTTGAATATCAATTGAAACCCACATATAAGATGGATCCAACAAAATCTTGCAGTCACGTTTAGTGCCTAAGAACATGTGGAACGGATGGCCAACCGCTGATACAAACACAAACCGAGTCAATTGATAAATGAAGAGGTAAATACTTGGCCAATTAGCGGTATCAAAGTCGTGGTCAAAAGTTCAATTTCAAAAAGAAAGAGTCATGGAACAACTGAGTGTTGGGAATGAAGGATTGTGGGTTGGAATCAGCATTTTGCCTTGGCAAGCTCTAGATGGTTCCCAAGTCAAATCTAAATGGGCTACATGGATAGGGTGAATTTTATGTAAAAACGTTGTGCCTACTTGATTTTGTCTAAGTGCTTTAGTTTTAGCCTAGTGGTAAATAATTCAACCTACATAAAACAAAACAACTAGCTTTCCTTCACCATTGCCCCACTGTCACTATTGCTTTTTGTCTGCCCCAGTTATCTAATTCTTTTTGCTCACTAAAAGTCAGGGGAAAAAGATTAAAAAAAAAAATTGCTTGGTCTTGAGAAAACCTCCTTTCTCCTTAGTTTTACCTTTGCCTTTTACCAAGCGCCAAGTAAGAAGTAATTTTGGTTTGTTAATTTGCTGTCTCTACTGATATCACAATCTCTGTAATGCTTCGAATTACAAATAATCAGTATTACAGCAGCCAGAAGGTGTAGCTGGGACCTTAGAACCTCAGAAGAAAAAACTTAATTAAAAGTAGCAAGAACCTGTGATCTTAAAACTGAAAAGCAGAATCAGTGTGCAGCTTATCCCTTGTTAAAAACCTCATGAAGCAAGAAGTTGCACCTGACTTACATAAGACCATAACCCAAAATCTGCAAATAGTGTGTAGTTATTGCTAGACTCAGGTTCTTTTATTCTTACCTTCTACCTCAATCTATTTTTCTTAATGACATTAATTATTACAAAACTTGGACTTAAAATCCCTATAAGTTTGATAAGCTTCGTCCAAACTTTGTTTCCGAGTAGCACACTGAGCCTCTAGGTGTTTCTTCTGCTCGAGGGTCTTTGCAAGCCTAGAAGAAATCACCTTGCCTTCTTCTTTGAGGTTCTTTTGACGTTGAATAACCTCTTGGCTTTGAGCCTTTAGAGTAGTTTGTTTCGAGCGGAGGTTATTCAGCTCGTTTTGTAAGGCCTCGATTGACGCTGTGCAATCTACCTCCTCTTGTTGTAGTTTCTTCAAAGCAGAAATCATCTCTTTGGTAGATTTTCTGATGGAAATCAGTTCCTATCGAAGAGTCTCAAGCTTGGTACGATCCCCCTCGCTCTCGACTTCGATTTGAGCCACCTCTTGGAATGAGGTGGACCATTTGGACTGGAACGGCTTGATAAACTCTTGAAGTTTGAGGTGAACCGCAGGAGGGAGGTCTGGGTAGGATAGCAAGTCATCGATCATCTGTTGAACCTCAATTTTGAATTCCGGGAGAATAAAGGCTTGGTCGAGATCTTCCACATATGCCTTCGACCGAAAAGATTCTAGCAGAGGTTGAAAAGTGAGAGGTGGCTGAGAAATTGGTTTAGGAACCTTCTCTGAAGCGGAGGTGCCACTGGTCCAATTTTCGAGAACATCGAAAATGTTGTTGACCTCGTCATCATCTTCATGAAAGAAACTTATCAAATCTAGATCCATAAAAGGGATCGAAGACAGTGGTGGCACTGAAGACTCGACACCTCCTTGGGCAGATTCGACACCACCCTAGGTCGAAGGAGAAGTGGTAAAAGGCCTAGGAGACTCAGTTGAATCTGCATAGAGAAAAAGGAAAATATAAGAACCAATATAAGAAACATAGTTCTTGATGAAAGATGATGAGAATATACCTTTATTTGGACTGAAAGGAGGCTTAAGCTCGAAAGAATGAGCTTCACCTTGCGAGGATTGTTGGAGAGTTTCCATATTCACCACAGGCTCTAAGGAAGGAATCTTCCCATCATCAACTTGAGGGGGAATCTCTATTGAGGCCATTATCGAGGCCATCTCAGCAACATTTAGTTGAGGAGTTGCCAACTGCAAACAAGTGATGAGATTAGAAGAAAAGACTAAGGAAAGATATAGAAAAATGAAAGATGAGCAAAAGGCGAACCTGTTGAGATACCCCAGTAACAGGAGGAATATCTATGGACATTTCCCGAGAGGAGTCGACTTGGATTATCTCGACATCCTGTGATGAGCAAGGATCTCAGAAAAGTCGAAGAAACATGAAAACTGAATCGAAATTAAAAATGAAAATACCTTGGGGACTGATTTCATAGCATCCTTGAGAAGTTTCTCGACAGGAGGCTTTTGAGTCTTCTTAGGGAGAGGAATCACTAATTTCCCATTCCCTTTATCCGGTTTTTTCGTGGTCGAAACCTGAAAATAGAATGAAAATCGTTATGGTCGAGACTTAAAATAGAGAGTGAGAGGAAGAGAGAATGTAAAGACGAAAATGAATTACTCACAGTCTTGGTGTTTGATGAATCGGCTTTTTGTTTTTTAGAGGTTTCGAGGCTCTGAGAATACGAGAAGAATCAGAGAAAGAATGGATGCGTAAATCCAAAATTCGATTAAAAGTGTAGATCGAAAAGAGTGGTACCTTAGAGCGTAGAGAAACCTTGTCAGAAGCAGTCTTTCTTTTTCGACTCTTCAGTGAAGACCCCTTACCTTCATCCTCATCACTTTCCCAATTGGGAGTCTTTTCAACATGTTGAGGAACACGTTGAGGGATAGCAGCTACATAACACAAGTTAAGGATGAGATGAGTATAACATGGAATTCGAGAAACTTTCTTAGTTATAGTCATTTACCAGGAGGAGGATTGGTATTATCGACCCAACACAATGGCCACCATCTTCTTCGAGGAAAATCGTACACGGAACATATCGCATAGGTAACTCGATTCTTTACGAGAATCTCTTTATGCTCAAGGTAAAATGGGTCGAGTGTCTTCACCCAAGGAGGGCGAGATAAATGTTTGACTAAACCAAAAAGAGCATTTGGAAGAGGAGGTATATTTTTTGGACAAAATTTTTCAAAATCAGTTTTGCCTCGACGATTAATTACCTTTTTCGAGCGGATGTTCCTTTGTACCATTTTCGATAAAGAAATAGTTGCATCAAAGATGGTTCGACCAATATTGTCAGGTCGATAACAGACTTTAAAAAATTGCTCGAATTGATAAATAATAGTTTGGTTGTTGTAAGTACCTGATTGTTTCGGGCCCTGCGAAGAAAGGGGAGAATTAATCATCTTCCTCAAAAAATCATCAAAGTTGAGAACTTTATCTACATAATATTGACACCACCATCGAAGATAACACTTTGAAACTAAGAAGGAGGGAGAAAAATTGCATGGGGTGAGCTTAAGTTTTTTATCAGAACGTAGGATGAAATCCAAAACTTCCTGATAGTCCCCTTTTTCAACACAGATATCAGCGTCGATACTTTCCTTACGTCGAAGGGGGAGAGGTTTCATTTGGAAAAGACCAAACTGCCGAGCAAGAAGTTGAGGTTGATAAGGATAGATCCTAACATCCTTTTGACGCATGCCAGATATTATTATATCCCAAGAAAGGAACTCGAACCACATTTCGAGAGAATCCGGAGAAATTTGCCCAACTTGATTATTCTGTCGAAGCCAAGGGGGGCCTAGCAAAGTAGTACTTATGAAAGGGGCCAAGTCTTCACTAAATTCAGTAAAGCTAAGAATAGCATCAATGTACTTCGCGAAATTGTTGACTGAATGCTTGCGAGGAGTAAGTGTGGTCAAACGGGCTCCTTCGAGGTCACACATTGGGGCAAAAGATGAAGTCAAAGAAAGTCTCTTCTCGAAAATTGTGTTGAGCCACAATTGAAGCAACCACAGTGGTCCAGAGAGATTACGAGGGCCTGATTCACGGGAAAGACTTTCCGAAGCTTCATCGAGACAGGTATAGAGGGAGGCTAACAGAAGTTTACTTAAACAAATTTTATTTTCTAAATGCAAAGCCTGAGCCAAAATATAGTAGTATTTAGGAACCTGGAGAGAAGGGGTGCAAAATACACAGGCAGAGAGCCAATACATCAGGAAAGCAATGTGTTCTGAAGTTGAGACAAGAGTATTGGTTTGTCCCATGTGAGCAGTGATAAAGGCCAAGTAGGTTTTCTTATCCCAAGATATCGAGGTTTCCTTAATCGAAATCTCTTCCTCGAAAAGATCGGGATAAAACCTATCCCCAGTAGGTGCTAAGCCCGTAATAGCAGCGATATCGAGCAGGGTAGGACATACGAAACCACAAGGAAATTCGAATGCTCGATTT